CTCGCTCGCTCGCTCGCTCGCTCTTTCGCTCTCTCTCTATCTCTCTATTTCTTCCTCTCTGTGTCTATCTGTCTCTCACACATACAGACACACACAGAGACACATACACACACCCCGCCTATTCCCCTCCCCCATTTGATCATCACTCACGACCTAGTCAGCTGGAGACCCTTAGTCACGACGAGGAAGGGGGAGGGGCACGAACTTTTCTGAGAAGTTTCCTTTTTACCAAGGGAGTCACAGTGAGTTGGTCACGTAAACAGCACGGATAGTCGTCGTCGTTGCCGCCCCCCAACCCCTCCCCCCGCGCTTTTCTGGTATTATTATTAAAGCCGTAGCCTCCTGGCGCTGATAAGCAACAAGTTCCCCAGCAGTCTTCCCGCCCTAGTCTGACTAGGGGAAGGTTTTCTTACCTGACGACAGGGGAATCTCCCGAGTCGAACTCAGCTTTATCAAAGCCCCAGGTGTGACTTGAGCAGTGGACAGGGGAGCGGTGTGAAGGCTGGGTTATTTTTATGAGGGAGCCCTAAAACTCCTCACTTTCTCCAGGAACTTTCTGCGCCAGGACCCAGAGACGAGCGGTTGGTATTCAACCACAGGAACCACCCGCTATATAGCAGGGCAGTTGGGCAGTCATTGGTAACCTCGCTCATTCATTAGAATCACGTAAGAACTCAAAGGGAAGCGTGTCTCTCGGAGTGAGGGCGTTTGCGTAAATCTATAGGTTTTTCAACACGGATGCCAGTTGCTTTGTCTTCTGTAGTCGCCAAGGTGGTTGAGAGTTTAAGCTTGCGGATATTGCAAAGGGTTATTAGATTCATAAGTCACACCAAGTGGTGGGCGATCCACTGAGCAAAGCCGAACTTCTCACATGATGACTTCAAACAAGACACATTACCTTCCAGCATCTGTTGGGGAGACGGGATTTTAAGACACTTGAGTCTCCAGGACAGCAAAGGCACAATGGTGAGTAGCAATAAGCCCTGCATTATAATTGAAGAATCTTGACATGTTGCTTAACAACGGGCATATCACAGCTCTTCCTACCACTTCACACGCCAGAGAGCAGCAGCTACTCAGGCCAGGAGAATCGGATTTTACATAGTGCAACTTTAATTGGAATCATTGGAGATTTTACACAGCTATGTGGAACTGCGTGGAACAAACTTGAAGCTGGGGAGGGGGGTTGTGTTGTGTTATATTGGCTATTCAAGGCTGATGCTTCTCTCCAAATCTCCTTGTACTCCATTCTTTGCCTCTATGTGTGTGGTGTATGAGCATATTCTATGATTTATATGTGGGCATGTAATTGACATTCATTTCCATATAAAAACAATAATGTTGCTAGAGGCTGGGGATAGGGGGTGGAGTGGGGGGAAGGATGGGGTAAGAACAGAGTTTGGGTGCAGATGGGGGTGGGGATTGTGGAAGAGAAATAAGTCAGAAGTGCATATAACCGGTAATGAAATGGGTTATGTTCTTATAGAAGAAAAGGGTCTCATCAACATGTGATCAACTATTAACAGGATGGCTTTGGCAAAGCCATCTGCACGTGATAAAACGTAAGGAAGTGGAAGAAACCGTCTAGAGCAATATCAAGTATCACTTAATTAGAGATTTTTTTGAAACCTTTCCTCCTGCTGCGCCGGGTGTGTAAATCCGGCGATCCCAGTCCATTCAGCACCTTGGACAGAGCCAACGGATTTGTCCGAGGAAGTGGTATCCCAGGTACCTTTCTTAGCCCCGCAGTAAAGTCAGCTTCGTGTCGCCCTTAAGAAGCGTCTTTTCTGAGGTTCGCCTCACACTGAGATCGGGGCTGGAGAAAGAGTCAGATTTTGGAGCGGAGCGTTTGGAAAGCGAGCCCCAGTTTGGTCCCCTCATTGAGCTCGCTGAAGTTGTCTTCCTAGCGGTGTAGGCTGGAATAGACTCTTGGCAAGCTCCGGGTTGGTATACTGGGTTAACTTTGGGAAATGCAAGTGTTTATCTCCAGGATCTAGCCACCGGAGTGGTATAAGCCGCAAAGAAGGTAAGCAACGGGGTGGGGACCCCCTGCATCCTGAATGCTTGAGCTATTTTGGTACTCGATCTTCCCGGTGGGAGCGTGGTGGAGGGGAGGGAGTAGAACGGTGAGCGTTAGAGGGGGGTTGTTTCTTGGTATTTGCCCAGTTTGAATTGCCCTGGATGAGAGCCTTGGTGTAAAGGGAGAAGGCAAAAAAATTTTTTAAATTAATTATTCAGTCTTCATGCGGATATAATGAGTTTAGTTAAGTTGAACCTACAAATGTCAGCTTCAACTGCAAAATTTCTTTTTCTCCCCTTCTCCTCCCTCTTTCCGTTCTCTTTGCCAATGGTGTGTGTGTGTGTGTGTGTGTACAGTAGATTCATTACTAATTATAAAGATTTTATACAACATTTGATTTCCAAAATTTTGACTTCGTGTCATTTAGAATCAGGCAGTGGAGGTGGTGTGCGGTGAGGAAGGAGAAGGTGGAGGTTGGGGAGAGGATAGGAGGTAACGCTAAATCTCCACACAAAATGAATCAAGGTAATTTCAGCTCTTCTAGTGAGAAGGATTCATTCTCTGTAACCCTCCCTCCATCTCTCCCCCTCCCTCCTCCCCGCCCCCCCTTACCACCCCACCCCCTCCTCCTGCCTCCATCCCTCCTTCATTCTATCTCTTCGCCTCCGTCGCCCTCGCGCCTCGCTGGATGTTTCTTTCTGGGTTTTTTGTTTGTTTCTCTCTCTCTCTCTCTCTCTCTCTCTCTCTCTTTCCTCTCTTTCTTTCCCCCCTCCCCACTAGTTTCGAGCGCTTTAGAGGGCTCCCGCTTTCTCAAGGGAAGGGGAGTCTCCAAGACCGCGCTCCGCATGCCTGCGGGTCGGATGCCTCATTGAGTCTAGGTCCGAGTCAGTCGGGGTAACTAAGGAAGGGGGGGCTTCTACTTAGGAGAAGGTCCTTTCTGGGCCCAAGAGCCAGTGAGCGGGCCAGAGGAGGGGGTCTGGGCAGCTGGAAGCGGCGGCGAAGAATACTTATAGCTTCGCGCCGCGGGTGGACAGAGTTACCAATCAGCTGGGCGCGCAGTTCGCCCGGCCACAGCGAGGTTGCTCCGCAAGGCGAGGGTGGAGAGCCGCCAGCTCGCCGCCGGGCTGCTGCCGCCCGTGTGGCCCGGGGGGCGGGGGAGATCGAAGCTGCTCAGAGCCTCCCAGTCTTCCGTTCCACCTCCCCCGCCTCCGCCCCCGGGGGACCCCAAACGGCCAGAGCGCGCGGCAGCTTTGTCCTCCTGCTTATCCTCTGGGAGACTAGGGACTTGCGCACCCCTGCACGGGGGCCACCATCCTATCAACCTTCCACCCACCCCTTTCCGGGCTCTTTGTTCCGGTGGCTGAGCCGCGCGGATACGCAGTTCTCGCCCCAGGGCTAGGGCGTTCTGGACTCCTCCTTCCTGGATCAGTCCTTCTTAATTAAGAGGCGAAGGTTGGTGGTGAAGGTAGGGGAGACAGAGGATCAAGGGTGTTTCTGAAACTCAAGACTCCACTGCGAACGAAAGAAAGAATCCCAACTCTACTCAGGTGGAAAGGATGGATGTACAGGGAATGCGAGGATATTGTGGAGATTTAGAAGGAAAAAATAAAAACAGGCACTAGGATCAGATGACGGTGATAGGCTCTTCAGCACACAAAGGGAGTGTAAGGCAGGGTTTACCGAGCGAGCTTGCAGCGAATGGGGCACAGATTGTTCCGAGATCCAGTCGTTTTCTCAGTCAGATCTACGCGAAGGAGGGAAGAGGAGGGGCTGGAAGGAGAGCGAGGCGGGAGGGGCTGGGCTTGGGGGCGGGGGGATTTCTGATCAGTCTGATGCAATTCCAAGCGTGCTGCAAAGGAACTCCAAGGAGTCCGCATCACCATCGCCACCCACCCTTCCCAGATGGTGCTGTTTTAAATACGGATCTGCAGGGCTGAACGCAGAACTGGGAGATTTATTGCAAAATCCCGAGATAGGGGAGGGCGGGGTGGGGGGGAGGAGGGAGGGGCGGGAAAGGCGAGGCAGGATTTAAAGGTGCAACGCTCGTTTTTCCCAGTCAAGCGGCAACCGGTCGGATTTTTTTTTTTTTTTTCAGCCTGCCTGTCGCTGGATTCTAATTCACCAAGGAAGAGGTGTAAATATTGTGACATTTTGAGGCGGCTTGATAGATGAGAAAAAAAATCTTCTGTCACTCTAAATTGCAGAGTTCCCTCTCTCGGCGAGATGTCTTGCTTGCGAATACTCGCTACTGCCTAATACAGTTGCTAGGGCTTCAAATGAACGCACCGTTAAGGGAATATTATCCTTTTAGTCGACTTGCCAATTTATCTGACAGTTGAACAGAGAAAATTGTAGATTTTGCATTCCTGGGAGACTGGGAGGGAAAATGCTGAAACCGTCTAATTTTGGTAACCTCGAGATCTTAACTCCAACAAATCTCAAAAGTGTCACGTCATGCTCTCTCGCGCGCGCACACACATATCCTTGACTTGTGAGATAAAATGGTTTCGCCTAACGTGTCGTGAAAATGAATGCCTCTTCAAGAACAGTGCACCTGGCATTCACTAGTTTATATGTATTTACATAAAACTCAACACTAAGGCAAAATATATTATCTCGTTTGGAGTCAGGCAGAAGATTCGAAGGTGATAAAGAGGAGAGGAGGAAAAGAATCGGCGGTGTCTTTCACCTTAAAAATTTAACAGTTACCTAGCCTACTGTTTCACTCCCTGGTCCTGCATATTAATATTTCTGTGTGTGAGATTTTAGCTCCCCCAATGGAATATATCAGTATTGATTCAATTGAAAATATATTCATCCTGTCTAGCTTTTTCAGTGTCATTGATAGTAAGACCTACAACACAGCAATTTTTAGAGGATAGAAAGAGATTGTCTGAAAGGGCCTTACAAACTGACAAGCAGACACAATAACTGGGAGATACCGCTGTGACATACTCTCTGCATGTAGCATTTTCATTGGAAATAGAATACTAGTTATTTTTAAATAGCCCCTACTTTGTATAATAAGGTAGTAAAATGGAAATTTTATAAAAAGCAAGTGATTCTTTGGCTTACAAAATATTACTTGCTAATTGCCTACCCATATATATTAGAAAGACGTTTGTTTAACAGATCTAAGATCAACAGACAAGCTTATTCATGCGTTTGTCAGAGTCTTCCCCTATCAATCTTTAATCGTTATTCTTAATAAGAAGAGAAGCTAGTAAATTTAGTTTCTTTCCTTTTCCTGGCCTGTCCTCTAGGGGAAGCTTTAGTAAGAAACTGCATTTTAAAACTAAGCAACGTGAGAGGCAAAGGCCTGGGTGAACAACAACAACAAAAAGATAATTGGTCAGAAACCAACAAATAGAAATGAAGAAAAATCAGCATTAAGGCATGGTTTAGAATGGATTTTTATTTGTAATTCTGTTATTTGGGGATCAGGCTCCAACTTCAACGAATAACATTCACTCAATCAAATTGCTTACAATCTGTCAGTTGTAAGCAATGATGTCTAACTGAACATATTTCTTGTTAAATATACTTCTACCAAAGATCAGTAAAGCTAATCTTTGCTTTTAATTAGGACAAACTAATCTACCATTTAAATGAATCTAATGAATATGAACTGATATCATCTGATCTTAAAATTCTGCTTGAATGTTTGGAAAAGCACTGCCTTGCCAGAAAAATATCTATTTTTGTAGCTCTCTTTTCACTCTATGGATAATTTAATGAGTTGCCTATTTTAATTTTACAACTGCTACCTCAGAAGTATCTCAAATTATCTTTCTTTGGCTGGTGTCTTTCTCTGCTGATCTGCTACTGCTGTGTGTGTGTGTGTATGTGTGTGTGTGTGTGTTTTCTAGTGAGTTTAGTAAGCAGTGAATCTCAATTTATATGCCATGATCCACTTAAAAAGCAGTGTGTGATAGTTGATAATGAA